GATATAGGATCTTTGTCGAGTGCCAGGGGCACTCGACGAACCCCAAAAACACTCGACAAAGGGCTTGTCGAGTGTTACACTCGGTAAAAGTTTTGACGGCAAACACTAGTTTGCCGAGTGTTTTTTGTCGCGCACTTGGCAAAGACGTTGCCAAGTGCCCAAAAAACACTCGGCAAACAATTTTTCAAAAAAAATAAAAAAACCAAGCCGTTGTCTTCTCCTTGCCGTGCTGCCACCACGCCGCACCACCACCACGCCCAGGCCACCACCACGCCGGGGTCGGATCCGGCCTCCCCGTGCGCCACCGTCGCCGGATCCGACCGCGCCGGGGCAAGATCTGGTGGAGGCGGTGGAGGAGCGCCACCGGGAAAGAGAGAGGTAGGGGGAGCACCGCCATGCCGAGAGAGGAAGGGGGGAGGGCACCACCGCCAGGAAAGGGAGGGGGAGGGCGCTGCCATGCTAGTAGAGGGAGAGGGTAGGGCGCCGCCATGCCGGCAGAGGGAGGGGGCAGGGCATGGAAGAAGAAGAAGGGGAGGGGGCGGGCCAAGGGGGGGGAGCGAGGAGGGAGAGAGAGAGAGGGGGCATGCCAAGAGAGGGAGGGAGGGGCGCCACGATGGAAAGGGAGGAGGGAGGGAGGGTGGGGCGGCAGGAGGAGAAGAAGAAGGGGAGGGAGGGGCACGACCGGTGAGGGAGGAGGGAGGAGGGGAGGGAGGGAGAGGGGCATGCCGAGAGAGGGAGGGGCTGGCCGCGTCGTTGAATTAAATATGATTTTTCCCTTTACCGAGTGTCCAGATCTGGGCACTCGGCAAAGTTTTTTTCATTTTTTTCTTCTCCTTCTTTTCTAGAAAAAATATTTTATTTCTTTGCCCAGTGTCTAAGATCTGGGCACTCGGCAAAATTTTTTTTTATTTTTTTTCTTCTCCTTCTTTTCTAGAAAAAAGATTTTATTTCTTTGCCGAGTGTCCTAGATCTGGGCACTCGGCAAAGTTTTTTTTCATTTTTTTTCTTCTCTTTCTTTCCCAGAAAAAAGATTTTATTTCTTTGCCGAGTGCAAAAAAGAAAACACTCGACAAACCTCCTGTTTGCCGAGTGTTTTTTTTGACACTCGGCAAACCTCCTGTTTGCCGAGTGTTATTTTTTTGCCGAGTGTTTTTAGCGCAGCACTCGGCAATGGTCTAGAGATGGCCGCGTGACGCTTCCACAAGAGGTAGCGGCGGTGGTGGTGTGTGTGGGTGGGGGGGATTCTCTGCGCTACCGCCACACACGTTGTCTCATGCGGCACTGGCAGGATGCCTGCCGCGTGTCCCAAACCCAATCCAAGAACCATACGATCTATGCATGTTGCATGTCCCAAATCCAATAAGCACAACCGGGTACAGGATCTTTGCCGAGTGCCGTGGGCACTCGGTGAAGCCCCAAAAACACTCGACAAAGGGTTTGCCGAGTGTTAGACTCGGCAAACGACACTCGGTAAACGTTTTGATGGCAAACGCTAGTTTGCCGAGTGTTTTTTGTCGCGCACTCGACAAAGACATTGCCGAGTGCCCAAAAAACACTCGGCAAACAATTTTTTCAAAAAAAATTAAAAAATAAGCTGCCATCTTCTCTTCGCTGTGCTGCCACCACGCCACACCGCCACCACGCCGGGGCCGGATCCGGCCTCCCCGTGCGCCACCGTCACCGGATGCGCCCGCACGGGACCGGATCTGGTGGAGGCGGTGGAGGAGCGCCGTCAGGAAAGGGAGAGGCAGGGGGAGTGCCGCCATGCCGAGAGAGGAAGGGGGGAGGGCACCACCGCCGGGAAAGGGAGGGGGAGGGCGCCGCCACGCTAGGAGAGGGAGAGGGCACGGCGCCGTCGCGCCGGGAGGCGGAGGGGGCAGGGCACGGGAGAAGAAGAAGGGGGTGGGGAGTGGCGCGTGCCGGCGAGGGAGGAGGGAGGAGGGAGGAGGGGAGGGAGGGAGGGGCATGCCGAGAGAGGGAGGGGCGGCGCCACGGCGACAAAAAGGGAGGAGGGGGGAGGGAGGAGGGGCGGTCATGGGAGAAGAAGACGAGGGAGGGAGGGACACGACCGGTGAGGGAGGAGGGAGGAGGGGGCGGCCGTAGGAGAAAAAGAAGGGGGAGGGGAGGGGCGCGCGCCGTTGAATTAAATATGATTTTTTCCTTTGCCGAGTGTCCAGATATGGGCACTCGACAAAGTTTTTTTTCATTTTTTTCTTCTTCTTTTTTCCTAGAAAAAATATTTTATTTCTTTGCTGAGTGTCCTAGATCTGGGCACTCGGCAAAGTTTTTTTTCATTTTTTTCTTGTCCTTCTTTTCCAGAAGAAAGATTTTATTTCTTTGCCGAGTGCCCTAGATCTGGACACTCGGCAAAGTTTTTTTTCATTTTTTTTCTTCTCCTTCTTTCCCAGAAAAAGATTTTATTTCTTTGCCGAGTGCAAAAAAAAACACTCGGCAAACCTCCTGTTTGCGGAGTGTTTTTTTGACACTCGGCAACCTCCTGTTTGCCGAGTGTCAATTTTTTGCCGAGTGTTTTTAGCGCAGCACTCGACAATGGTCTAGAGATGGCTGCGTGATGCTTCCACAAGAGGCAGCGGCGGTGGTGGTGTGTGTGGGTGGGGCGGGGGGGGGGGATTCTCTGTGCTACCGCCGCAAAGTTGTCTCATGCGACACTGGCAGGATGCCTACCGCGTGTCCCAAACCCAATCCAAGAACCATACGATCTATGCTTGTTGCATGTCCCAAACCCAATAAGCACTACCGGATATAGGATCTTTGCCGAGTGCCAGGGGCACTTGGCGAAGCCCCAAAAACACTCGACAAAGGGTTTACCAAGTGTTACACTCGGCAAACAACACTCGGTAAATATTTTGACGGCAAGTGCTAGTTTGCCAAGTGTTTATCTCGCACACTTGGCAAAGACGTTGGCGAGTGCCCAAAAAACACTCGTCAAACAAATTTTCAGAAAAAATAAAAAAAAACAAGCCACCGTCTTCTCCTCTCCGCACTGCCACCATGCCGCACCGCCACCACGCCGCACCACCACCATGCCGTGCCACCACGCCCAGGCTGCCACCTCGCTGAGGTTGGATCCGGCCTCCCCGTGCGCCACCGTCGTCGGATCCACCCGCGCAGGGGCCGTATCTAGTGGAGGCGGTGCAGGAGTGCCTCCGGGAAACGGAGAGGCAGGGGGAGCGCCGCCATGCCGAGAGAGGAAGGGGGGACGGCACCACCGCTGGGAAAGGGAAGGGGAGGGCGCCGCCACGCTAGGAGAGGGAGAGGGCAGGGCGCCGCCGCGCCGAGAGAGGGAGGGGGTAGGGCATGGGAGAAGAAGAAGGGGGAGGGGACCGTCGCGTGCCAGCGAGGGAGGAGGGAGGAGGGTAGGGACGGAGGGGGCGCGCCATGATGGAAAGGGAGGAGGGATGGAGGGAGGGGGTGGCAGGGAGAAGAAGAAGGGGAGGGGAGGGGCAAGCACCGACGAGGGAGGAGGGAGGAGGGAAGGGAGGGAGGGGGGATGCCATGCGAGGGAGGGAGGCGCCACCGCAACGGAAAAAGGGTGGAGGCGAGGGAGGGAGGGGGCGGCCGTGGGAGAAGAAGGGGGAGGGGAGGGGCGCGCGCCGTTGAATTAAATATGATTTTTTTCCTTTGCTGAATGTCCAGATCTAGGCACTCGGCAAAGTTTTTTTTTATTTTTTTTCTTCTCCTTCTTTCCCAGAAAAAATATTTTATTTCTTTGCCGAGTGCAAAAAAGAAAACACTCGGCAAACCTCCTGTTTGCCTAGTGTTTTTTTTGACACTCGGCAAATCTCCTGTTTACCGAGTGTTATTTTTTTGCCAAGTGTTTTTAGCGCAGCACTCGGCAAAAAACTTGTTCGTCGAGTGCTCGACGAAATACACTCGACAAACATAAAAACACTCGGCAAATTTGACGTTTCCGACAGTGAAGGGTCTGTTTGGATGGTCGGTAAGCCTAATAATATTACACCTGTTTTGAGGCAAAACCACCGGATAAAAATAATCTTCTAATCAGGTCTGAAAAAAAAACACGACAACTATCGTGGCCTTCTCCCTCCGGCACGCTTCGTCCACGTCATCAAGAGGCGCTGCCGGCGTCGCAGCCTTGGCCTCGTCGTCCGCCCAGACCCGGCCCCGAGCATCGTAACTCCTCCCACGCTGGCAGGAGATCGAGACCGTGGGCCCTGCCATGCCTGGTTGCGCAACCGATTCGCCCGATCGGGTCGTCCTTCCTGCCGCAGCCGCCCCAGGCTCCAGTGAATCTCGTCCTTCCGGGGTTGTTGTGCTACGAGCAACCTGGCAAGTTTCTTCTATGCTCAGTGCTTACTTTACGAGCTCGCGGGACTGCGGGAGTGCAAGCGGCAGCGCCTGCTGCTGTTGCTGCGACGGCCATGTCCCAGTCCCAACACTCTTCAAACTCCTCTCATTTTTCCTCTGTTCTTTATGTATTGGGCTACTGGATGTGAATGGTACTGACGTAGTGTTATATCATTCTCACGGTGAATTATATGATGTAATTGGTATTTGTAATGTCTTCATCTTCTATGTTTATTATGTGTAAAATTACTTGATGATTGACATATTTTTGTTCAGCCACTAAATGGCGTAGCCCGCTATAGCCTTTCTTCTCTTTTGGGAGAGGCAGCCGCTAAGGTGCTTAGCCCGCTATTTAAAACTTTGACCACGGTACTTTTCCTACCATTGTAAAAGATCTCTATATATCATCATTTAAGATTGTCTATATCATCATGCATCCATCAGGTGTGACCATGACAGTCGCCAATTAATCACATAAGGGCGGGGCAATTAATCAGCTGAAGGAAACCAAGCAGCATGGATATATTGATGTGGATGAATAAGGCACGTACAGTAGCATTACTCTAAGAAAAGCAACCCTGATTTTCTTGGCTGGAGACAAAGCAATGATGCCAGGATACCGTACCTTCGCCGTGGTTCCCCACACTGACACGCAGCACACGTCTAGCTAGCTAGCTAATTGTTGAGATTAAAAGACGAAAATTACAGTAGAGTGATCCGACGAAGTTGATGCTGCTGCTGCTTGCCACCGTGCTGCTCCACTGCTGCAGATTCGACGCGTCGGCGGTCTGCACCATCTGCATCAGCGCCGGGACGTCCAGGCTGTGGACGACGTAGCCTGTAGGCGGCTGCATGTTGTGGCAGGCCGCCGCCGCCATCATGTCCTGGGGCTGGTGTTGCTGCTGTTGCGCGGCCGCGAGCTGCTCATGCTGCTGCACCGTCGGGTTCGTGTGGACCATCTGCAGGTCCGGCATTTGGCACGCATGCTGCGCCACGAACTGTTGGGCCTGCGGCGGCGGCGCCACCACCTGTTGCGCCATGGTGGCCGGCTGCAGAGTCCACGGCAGGAGCTGCTGGTTGCTGATCACTGGCGCAGCCGGGCCAGAGAGCAGCAGGGTGGAGGCGAGGCCGAGGAGGTCTGGGTCCGGCTCGTAGTTGGCGAGCGGCTCCAAAGGCGCAGAGCGGCTCGAGGTCGGCGTCCTGCGCAGGGTAGGGGTAGCAGTACGCGGCGGCGGGCGTGAGAAGCGCGGCCGAGAGGTCGAGGTCGAGGCGCGGCGCGTGGGTGACGGGGTCGATGCCCATGCGGAGCAGGCGCTTGCGGATGTTGGTGTTCCAGTAGTTCTTGACCTCGTTGTCCGTCCGCCCGGGCAGCCGCGCCGCGATCGCTAACCACACCAGTGACCATTGTAGCCAATCACGCATCGATCAGATACCGTACTGCTATGTATGCTGCTACTGTCTGTACTAGTAGCAGTAGAGCAAAAACAGCACAAGCCAAACTAGCTCTCCACGATGCCGAAGTGTGTAGTGTGTGCTTATTGTTACTTGTTGCCGAGGATGCTGTGGAGCTGGATGATGGTGTCCTCCTGGAAGGAGAATCGGCCGCGCTTGATGTCCGGCCTCAGGAAGTGGTCCACCGCAGACGGCAGCTCTTCCCAGTACTACAGGAATGGTTTCTATAGACGGCTGGTGAGTCTTTGTAGAGGCGGCTGGTCGAGCCGCCTCTACCATACTGTTTCTACAAATCATGTATTTATAGAGACGGTTTCCAAACCGTCCTTATAAATCGATTTGTAGGGGCGGCTGTAGTACCAGCCATCCCTATAATACCTGTTTGTAGGGGCGGTTCAGTCTAGAACCGCTCCTATAGTACATTTTTCCGTCAAAAAAATTCAAATTTACGATTCAAATTCGACCAGAAAACACACACACACACACACATATATATATATATATATATATATATATAATTCAAATATGACCACAAGCATAAGAGCATTATATAAACTACCATTATAAGTTCAATTCACAAGAATATATACAATCCATTATTAAATATATATAATTCACAAGTCTAATTCGTTCCACAAGTCCAAACCGTTCCACAAGGTAAGACCAATGTCAAATTCCATACACATTGTTATCAACGGCTTAGAGCTAGCCTTTCAGTCTCATGAAAATGTTGGTACTGAGGATTTCTACCTAAGTCAGAATCTCAGTCCTGGTAGGTGCCTTTGACGTGTACAATCTGGTCCAATATGAAGTTGCAAAGGTCGCCGATGAGCTGTAAGAGTTGGTCATCCTTGTATGGGTCTCTTTTCATTTTTTTCTCTTCTTTCTAATACAAGAGAACAAGTTTTAGTTTAGTATTTCATATCATGTATGAAATTTTTATACTACAGGTGAAGAGGTTCAAACTTACCCTTAAGGGGTGTCTTCTGTAGGCACCGGTGTTACTCATCATAGAACATATATAGTATCCACAATATACACTCCTAGGCTTCTGCTTGGGGCACTGTGTGTTTTGCATATAAAAATATTAAGTAATGCTTTTGACAGCCATGTAATGTAGTACTAAAGTAAGTTACACTTACCGCACATAGTGTTTTTATAGCTAGCCTTTCTTTCCTTACTGGATCATGCCTTCCGTGATGTTTATTGACACATAACCCGAATGCATTGTTCGAATTATTTTAGCAAATACAACTTATTAGTATCCAAAAGTGAACATTACAAGTATGTATACAAACATATAAGCTAATAAGAATTATCGATATGTATACGTCTTGAGAATCGATATGAAGTCATTGTATGTCACCGGGTCCCTATCTATTGAATCAAAGACCCATGCCATGTTCCTCCCGACATCGACGCCTATACAAATCCAGTGGTTACTGCATGAATTTAATCATAGAACTAGATAAGTTCTTTTGCATCGAATAAAATATATCGAACAAAGCTTTTAAGTATAGAGTTGAACTTACTCGAAGTTGTATGGTAGCCATATAGTAGAGTGTTGTTGGAGATTTTTAAAAGCCAGGGCAATGTATGCCAAAAGCTCAAGGGACTCTTGCCTTAGTTTCTTCGTATGGATGTCCTCCTTCTTCTGAAGGGTCTTTCCAGCAGCTAGCTCTTTGGCATCTAGTTTCCACTATCTAGGGTAATTAAAATTTGTTTGTGCTATAGCTTGAGGGTCTATATACCCGGCTTTCACACTTGGCATTTATTTTACAATGTGCACTTGCATTCTACAAATCACGGCGTGGGTTATGTACAACAAAATCCAAATATTGCATTCATATCATATCAGGAGAGCAAAGACTTGCAGGCACCATGTGAGAATTAGATTCATTTGTATTGCTCTAAGGTGAAAGCATGTCTATATGTCATTGAAGTCAAAGATAATTTTTCCGGCTGGGCTTCCAAATGTGTCGGTGGGGAAGCATGCTTAAACGAGGTCTATGCTCGTTAGGAGAACACGCAAGTACCAATCATGGAACCTTCTCATTCCAAGTGGTAGGCGCTGGATGTTCCAGTTTGGTAGGAAGGGCTTTCCTCTTTCATATGGTTTTGGGCAATCATTTGACCATTTGATGGCATTAACATTTAGATACTTCTTTGCTATTTGATGGACTTTGCTAGTGATGGTCTCCTCAGAAGCCCGTGTTGGGACTTTTTTAACTTCGTTCTCAGGTTTGAACTGGTCATGGGCATACCACTTGTGCACCGACGAGACGTCTTTAATCGGAACATAAATTGACATTATGGTGATTGGATGCTTCTTTCGAAGTTTCCATTCAGGCACGTCCTCATCTTCTTATGCATCACCTTCTTTAGGAGGCACTCATTCATGTATCGGCTGCGCTTGTTGAGAAGACTGTGGCATCACATCATGCACTTGCTCGGTATGAGCTGGAGAAGGTTGTGGCTTATCAGACACATGCTCGCTAGGAGGCGGGGAAGAATATGGCATCTTAGGAATGTGGTGGTCATGAGACGGTGAAAATATCTCCCCGTCCTCAACAACTCGCTCCAAATTTGAGAGGGGGAGAGGCGGCGAAGAAGCAGTCAATATAATATCCTGTTGGTGCCAGAGGATGAACTACCCCATTACGTCTCTGGGTAACACTAGCCCCTCAGGAGTTGTGTAGTCTATCCTCCACTGCATGAGCTCGAGCTTCACGGTATGCACCTCGACCCTAGTGTAGTCCGGTGGTATCTTATTATTGTGGTGTAAGCCACCGGGAGGATGTGCCACATCCGTTGCCACCTCCATCACAATGTTCTGCCGGCCGCTGAGAAACACTAAGGTGCAACTAGTTGGTTCCCGTATGCGATCGACGGGGGTTATGGCTGCAGTGGAACCTTGGTCGCTAGAAACTTCCGAAGGGCTGCCAACTAATGCCAGTTCTCCCGCATGGCGCCATTAATATCCGTGGCTCCGTAGACAGTCATTGCTCCTCCAGCGCCTTCGCAACTAGAGCCTTCACTTGGAGCTCAAGATTATACTCCCGATCTCTGCCATGTTTCTTGTACATGTGCCTGTCCTGTTCGAATCTATGCTTCTAGGTCATCCTTTTCCCTAGCCCCCTGGTGCGGCCTGTGTGCTCGTTATCTCCCAAGCCAAGGCTAAGCTCGTCCCTCTCTCTAGAAGGATTGAATGAGCCATTCTTCTTGTCTTCAGCATATTTTAGTATCCTTGGTACTGCCTCTTGGGTCTCTGGCTTATCAAACATAAGATTACCGCCGGATGATTCTGTACTCCTCGTATATATCCAATTTCTTGAGCGTATCTTCAAATTCTTCACATCAATATTCCTAGAAGCTGCGGCCTCTTCGTCCATCTTCCTAAACTGCTCTTCCTTGGTATAGTAGCCACCGAGGCCTAGATGATGGTGGTGTTTGTTCCTCTTGGTCAGCCCGGTGTTACGGGCACTGAGCTCCAATGCCTCCAGTGAAGTCTTCTGAGCCACGAGCTCCTTCCATTGACTAGGAGTTATGTTGCCGAACTCGTTGAAGGGAGTTAACCCCTTTTGGATATACTTCTTATTGAGCTCCGACCTCCAACGTCGGAATGACTCTCCTATGATCTTGAAAGCGTTTTTTACCAGTTCTTGCTTACCCTCCGGAAATCTAAATTTGAGCTTCAGCTGCTTATCCCATAGTTCATCCTTTTTCTTCTCTAGTACCTCTTTCTAGTTAAGGATTGCTGGATTGAATTTATCTTTTACTAGGGCCTCGATCATATTACGGAATCGTCCTTTGAATTCCTTCGGCTCAAGGATCTCCCCTGCTGGCCCAACCTCCGTTATCACATAGCATGCCTTATCTGGATATTGGTTTGCTTTTGTATCCCCTCGTTTCCTCTTTGGCTTGGTAGTCGTGTTCATGGTTGTATCTTGAGGTTGTGGAGCAGAGGCCTCAATGTCTATCTCTGTGCCTGTTGTCTCTACTCTCCTTTTCTCTACTCCCTTATCCGGCGAGATGTCGCGGACGTCGACGTCGTCTTTTCCGAGTTTCAGGAGGGACCTGTATATACGATAGGTCAAAGTGTTAGTAGAGGTAACACAGCTAAAGCTTTAGCAAAATTTACAAGCTAAGGCTTTATCCCTACCTCCTCGTTCAGGTCAAAAATCCTTATCCAAATCTTCCTCCATTGATCTCCTTCTAGCTTCATGTGGGAAAAGATCCTCGGGACTTACATATCGCTCTTCTGAGTCCTCATCATCATCATCCTCTTCTTCGCCTTCAGCAGCATCTCCTGCTCTTCCTTCTACAACCTCTTCCTCCTCGTCACACTACTCCTGAGTAAGCATTATTTTTAGATCCTTTTCTAACTTGTTATCGAACTGCTCCTGAGTAAGCTGGTCCTCTAGTGCTTGCTCCTCATTGGTTGGCTGCTCATCATGGTCGGGGCATCGGGCTGCACTGTCTGGTGTCCGTGACATTATTTCGCGCTTTGTTCTAATAGATGCAAAAAAGTGTGCTTTAGATACGCGAGAAGGTATAAGAAATTAAAAAGGTCTATAAACAAAGTAGT